TTTTTTTTTATGTGAAACAACAATACCTGGTCTTGACATTTGGGACAAATCCACATGCCCTTAGGAATTGTTTTCAGAGGTGGGTCTAGACAATCCAAGTGATATACACGTGAGCATGTATCACACATAAGTAGCTGGCCACTTTTCCTGCAAACACTGCAAAAATCTTCATGGATATCACCCTATAAAACAAAAGAAAACAGGAAGAAAGGTGTTTTTTAAATATTTTCAATCTACATTAAAAATGAAAGCAAAGTTTAAGCATGAGAGAATCTTATGTAAGAAAGAAAACTACCCAAATTATAACTTGTTCCATTTTCACCATAAAAATTATTAAGAAAATTTGTAACATCACCTCTTAAAATACACCACTTTTTTGTAGTAAGTAGACTTGTCAAGCAAGAACATTATTTCTTTTGTGCTAAGAAAAGAAATTTAGTGTCAGGGTGAAATTCCCAATCAACTACAATTTTAAAATATTGTGGCAATATATCAATGTAATATTAGTTCCCGGATGATACTATTAACACTACTACTACTAGTACAAAAAAATTTTTTTTTAAGAATGAGGGAATATGTACATTTGCATGCTAGAAGAGGGACTACTCAGTTTAAATTAGTATGTAAGTAAATTATTTGTCACTGAGTAGGTTCAACCTCTGGTTACTCCAGTAATGAATGATGACCATATCAACCTATATATAACACTTGCAGTTCCTCAAAGGAACTGCCTGCATTCTGTGGATGGGGTTTTCGCTAGTTTGCATGGCCCGTTTTTGGCATGATGCGGACCAATGGCAGTCCACTAGAGGTTGGGGACCAATGATTTAGAGAACTCATTTTATATAGTCACACAGTTAAGATTTTTGATGGAGAGGAACAAAATGATCAATATCTACTCTAAGAAGCATTTTAAGCTAAATGAATGAATCGGAAATAAGACTGTAAAATCTGAATTATTTGAATTTGAATTATCTCAAATACAATTGTATATAACTGGCTACAAAACAATGGCAAAAACATAATGGATTGAAATATTGGGTTAACTTAGGAGGGTAAATATAATTTAATTCTAATTTTTACCACAGCCTTTCCTGAGAAATGTAGACAATTTAATAATCTAATAAAATGATATATTAAGTGCTGTGGCTTCACTTACATCAACATTCGGAAAATCAAATGTTTTCAATATCTACTTAAAGTATGGGACTTCCCTTTTCTCTTTTTGGCAGCTCTGTCCATAGCCTCCAACTTCTAAAGCAGATCTCAGAAGAGTTTTCAAAGATTGCAAAGGGAAAGGGAATCTATTCCACCTTTAAACTCATTTGCCAGAAGGTGCATTTATGAATTCAGTCCAAGAACAGATCTATCTGTTTCTAGTTTAATTAATCTGAGACTTCAGTAAAAAGAGCAACCAAAACAGGTATCTATGATAAATACATCTCAGCTGAAAAATGTGAAGCTGCTAGAGTTACGTATTTTGTGTTAACGACTGGATTTTAATTTTAGCATATTGTACACAGATAAAGATTAAAAGAAGTCAAAATAACAAGATCAGAAGAAGAAAAGATATTACTAAACAGTATTTTTTTGATGAGCTGAAGGCAATTCCGAAAAGTTGCTACAACTGAATCTCATTTTCTAAAACTCTTCAGATTTAGAAATAAATATTGGTAGTAAGATCTGTAAAAATAGCCTACTCTTTTGTAAAATATGGCATTCCATAAGAACTTGAATAGTGATGAATAAGACGATTCACAGCTTGCAAACTGGTTCTGAATTATGTAAGCTATTTCAACTAACCTTAAAACAACGGTAGGCTATCTTTATAACGAGTAATGTATTAAATAATGACAGAGTATCAACCATTTGGGAGATGGGATTACTCCCAAGCAGTGGGTTATGCTTAAACCTTCTACCTGCATAAAAATCAATGCTTCACACACTGGAGGTAACATCATTAATTTCCAGCATGAGTATGCTATCTTGACCTATGAATTATCATGGTCTGGTTCCACAAGCACAATATATCAAATGACTGATGAATTCCTAGGACTCAATTTAAGGAAGAAATATTGGGGGTTGAGAGTTTCAAAGTTAAAAAAAACTTCTTGGGCCCATTCCTGATCCCCTCCAATCCCAATTTTAGCTGACTGATCCCCATTGAACCCAAAATTTCCATTGCTAAGCAAGACAGTTGTTATATGAGTTTTGTCCCATTTTACAACTTTTCTTGCCACATTTGTTCAGTGATCTCTGCAGTTGTTAAATTAGCAACATAGGTATTAGGTGAATCTGGCTTCCCCTTTGCTTGTCAGAAGGTCACAAAAGGTGATCACACGATCTGGAACACTGCGGCCATCTTAAATACATGCCATTTGCTCAGCATCCGAATTTTGATCATGTGATTATGGGGATGCTGCAACGGTCGTTAAGTGTTAACAGCAGTAATAAGTGATTTTTTTTCAGTACCACTGTAACTTCAAACCGTCACTGAATGAATGGTTGTAGGTCAAGGACTGCCTCTATGTAAAATCAGTTTCACAAAAATTAAGGGAGGTTGGGCAGGATTCAAATTATAAGGGGATCAACATTCTTAACTTGTACAGTCATGTGAAAAAAATACATAAACCCACATAAAATGTTTTTCTTTTCTAATATTAATATAGGGTTATTATTATTTTAATCTTCATTCAAACAGTATATAAATGTGATGTAACTGAACAAAAAAGCTAGGAAAATTGATTTTGCATTCATTTATTCAACAAAAGACTAACATATGTACCACTTCTTTCATGGAAAAAGCAACCTTGGCTTTAATAACTGGTATTACCCCTTTTGGCAGAAACAACCTGAAGTAGGTGATTCTTTTAACCGTCTACCAGTTTCTAGTACGGACTGGGAAGAACTTTCCCCCCATTTTTCTATGCAGATTTAGGGTCACTGTCATGTTGAAAGGTCCACTTTCAGTTGAGCTTCAATGTTTTGACAAATGATCTCGTATTATTTTCAAGTATCAATGAAAATATTCTAGTGGATTATATGATAGGGAACTGCCCAGGTGATGTATAGCAAAACTTTAATCACCATGTTTTATGGTTAGTAAGGGTGATGTGGTTGGTTGGGTTTTTTGGGGGTGGTGGTGTTGCCAAACATGTCCTTTGGTACTGTGCCAAACAACTTGCTTTTTTTTTTCTGGAGCACATTATTTTAGAAGTCTTGGTCTTTGTCTGGGTGTTCACAAACAAATTTTAGTCTTGCTTGGGGTTCTTTTTGGACAGCAAGCGTTTCCTCCTGGCACTCCTCCCCAAATGGGACAACTTGCCACAGCCAAATCACTGTAACCACCTCACGACAGCTGACTTGCCGCAGGACAATTCATTGCAGGAGAATTCAACAGATACAAAAGTTAAATTAATTTCAACAGAATAGTGGTCAATAATAATAAAATAAAGAAAATGAATCCAGAAATACAAGAGTTACAACATTTTTGACAGAAAAGTTGTCATCAATAGTAAAAGTAAATGATTAAAACAATTAATACAGATTTGAATTGTTCTGTAGCAAGTTGGCTATGACGAGTTGTCAAGTGGTGAGTTGGCTGTGGCGAGTTAATCACAAGTTGGCTGTGACGAGTTGGCCACGGCAAGTTGTTTTAGACTCCATGAATATGACCAAAGAAACTTTATTTCCTTCCTGCCACTCCATTGCTAAAACGTGCACACAACTGCATTAATCTGTCTGTGCATCTGAAAAAAATGAGTGGAGGGAAAATATCTTAGATATACTAGGATACTATAGAATCCATCTATCCTAGGTAAAGTGGCAAGGAGAGGGGAAATAGTTATAAATATCAGTAATGCAGAGTCCAGAAGAGGAGTGAACATTTTGGTGCAATTTAAAGTATTTCTTAAGAAAACGAATTCTGAAGTTTTTGCACAGTAGCTTTGCTTCAAACAGTGTTTAATCCAGCAAGAGTTACTTACGTCCATGGAGCTGGGGCTGGGTAAGGATACAGGCTGAACAGTTGCAGGGAAAATAAATGTCTCTGTCTTTTCATTTTCAGGGGAATCAGGATGACTGGACAGAGGGGATGTGGGGGTGAGAGCCCCAAATCCCAGCACAGTGTTGTATTTAGGTGGACGACCTACATATTAACAGAAGGAAACAAAAAGGGGAGGAAAATAATCTTACATACCTTTGGACATTGCTCCTCATTGGCTAGCATGAAAAAGGAAGCGATGAGGTACAGAGAGGTAGTTAGTATAATAGTCACAAGTGAAAGGAAGCCAAGATTCTCACATTAATTTTAAGACATTTACAAGAATAATTTCAAAAAGGATATGAGAAAAAAAATGTGCAGTTTCTCAGAAGGGTAAAGGTTGCTACTCCTAACAATGGTATATCATTTCAGTCTTAATGTTTTGAGTGTTCAATCTTTCCCTCCATATCAAGCCCCCAACTGACTTCTACCAAAAGTCGCCATGATCCATACACCTTGGATTGACTGAAATATCTTCATAATCCTTTAAACAGTACCTAGTAATACTTCATTCATTTTCTAAGTCTCAATTTCATTTGGAGGCTATCCATAACATTTTCATTTAGGCAATAATATTTATATTAGATTTGGAAAATATTTTTGGTTCATTAAGGAATTTTAAAAATAATAAAGCATTCTAAGTCTAGAACAATCATATAAAGAGCACTTTTGTTATTCATAAAATAAATATGACATAAAATTGCCTAGTAAAGTAAACTATTATTCTAAAGTGAACTATTATTCTAATTGAAAATATCTCTGCAGTATTTTACTAATAGTTTTCTGATGATTGATAAACAAAATTACAGACAAAAGATGGAAACATGGAATTAAGCATTCATAGATAACTTGTTTTAAATATTAAGCTGTACAAAACAGGTAAAGGGTAGTAGAAACAAATACAGTGGGGCAAAAAAGTATTTAGTCAGCCACCAATTGTGCAAGTTCTCCCACTTAAAAAGATGAGAGAGGCCTGTAATTGACATCATAGGTAGACCTCAACTATGAGAGACAAAATGAGAAAACAAATCCAGACAATCACATTGTCTGATTTGGAAAGAATTTTTTTGCAAATTATGGTGGAAAATAAGTATTTGGTCAATATCAAAAGTTCATCTCAATAGTTTGTTATATATCCTTTGTTGGCAATGACAGAGGTCAAACGTTTTCTGTAAGTCTTCACAAGGTTGGCACACGTTGTTGCTGGTATGTTGGCCCATTCCTCCATGCAGATCTCCTCTAGAGCAGTGATGTTTTGGGGCTGTCGCTGGGCAACACGGACTTTCAACTCCCTCCAAAGCTTTTCTATGGGGTTGAGATCTGGAGACTGACTAGTCCACTCCAGGACCTTGAAATGCTTCTTACAAAGCCACTCCTTCATTGCCCAGGTGATGTGTTTGGGATCATTGTCATGCTGAAAGACCCAGCCACGTTTCATCTTCAATGTCCTTGCTGATGGAAGGAGATTTGCACTCAAAATCTCACAATACATGGCCCCATTCATTCTTTCCTGTACATGGATCAGTCGTCCTGGTCCCTTTGCAGAGAAACAGCCCCAAAGCATGATGTTGCTACCCCCGTGCTTCACAGTAGGTATGGTGTTCTTTGGATGCAACTCAGCATTCTTTCTCCTCCAAACACGACGAGTTGTGTTTCTACCAAACAGTTCTACTTTGGTTTCATCTGACCATATGACATTCTCCCAATCCTCTTCTGGATCATCCAAATGCTCTCTAGCAAACTTCAGATGGGCCCGGACATGTACTGGCTTAAGCAGGGACACGTCTGGCACTGCAGGATCTGAGTTCCTGGTGGCGTAGTGTGTTACTGATGGTAGCCTTTGTTATGTTGGTCCCAGCTCTCTGCAGGGTATTCACTAGGTCCCCCCGTGTGGTTCTGGGATTTTTGCTCACCGTTCTTGTGATCATTTTGACCCCATGGGGTAAGAATTTGCATGGAGCCCCAGATCGAGGGAGATTATCTGTGGTCTTGTATGTCTTCCATTTTCTAATTATTGATCCCACAGTTGATTTCTTCACACCAAGCTGCTTGCCTATTGCAGATTCAGTCTTCCCAGCCTGGTGCAGGTCTACAATTTTGTTTCTGGTGTCCTTCGACAGCTCTTTGGTCTTCACCATAGTGGAGTTTGGAGTGTGACTGTTTGAGGTTGTGGACAGGTGTCTTTTATACTGCTAACAAGTTCAAACAGGTGCCATTAATACAGGTAATGAGTGGAAGACAGAGGAGTCTCTTAAAGAAGAAGTTACATGTCTGTGAGAGCCAGAAATCTTGCTTGTTTGTAAGTGACCAAATACTTATTTTCCACCATAATTTGCAAAAAAATTCTTTCCAAATCAGATGTGATTGTCTGGATTTGTTTTCTCATTTTGTCTCTCATAGTTGAGGTCTACCTATGATGTCAATTACAGGCCTCTCTCATCTTTTTAAGTGGGAAAACTTACACAATTGGTGGCTGGCTAAATACTTTTCTGCCCCACTGTATAAAAGTTTCATTTATGTGATCAAGAACAAAATGCCAAAAACAATGGAAAAAAAATATCAAATCCACTTTACTTATAATGACATATTTTGGAAAAGAAAAAAAAACCTTGCACAGTGAAATCTGCAATTGACTCTTAAACCTTTTAATCACTTATATTCATATATACAGTACATTCAAGTGCATTATTAGAAGAACAATAGCTAAAGTTAATCAATACACATTTTAATTACAAAGTACTGTTTTAAAATTAGTTTGTATTTCAAGTTATCAATTTTATTTTTAAACAAGCTCAGCAGCAAGGGAATTATTAAAAAGCATTAACAGAATCAAGGCCAGATATTATATAATGCTCAGCTCTATTGTGCAACTAATAAAGCACCCATCACACTGTATTACATCAGCAGTATTTTATATCCAAAACAAAATCTAAATGCTTGAAGAAGCTTTTTCAGGCATATTATCAAGAAAATATTTTAAGAAGTACATAATGTAAACAACCAGGCGTGATTCATCCATATATGACTAAGCCATCTAATGGCAAATGGTTGAAGAGGCAAACCTTCTTTTTACAAATTCAAATTGGAAATGAGAATAAGAAACCTCTGGGAGGTAGCTACTTCTATGCTCACTCTTAACACCTGAAATCAGTCTTTTTTTAAAAAAAATATTTTTCTGAGTTTGGGGTTTTAACTGTCAGAATGGGAGCGGTTTGTCTCATAGAGGAAAGGTTTTGTTTTTTTTAAAAAATAATCTGCCAACACTGAAATGCTATTGTACAAATTTATAATTATCCCTGTACCTGAAATATTGTGTATAGTTCTGGTTAACGTATTTGAAAAAGGTTATAATAAAAGTGAGGAAACTACAGAAAAGGACATCTAAAATGATCAAGATGATCAAGCATCTTTCTTCTTTGAAAAAGGAGTGATATTTGAAATATTTTGAAAAATATTTCAAAAAAAATTAGTTACCTTTCAGAAAAAGCTAACTAAGGAGTGATAAAACTGAGATGCATACAATCATGCTTGGCATAGAAAAATAAGATATTTTTCTCTTTCTCTCAAAATTTGGAAACTTTTAAGCTTAAAACACCAGAATCTGATTCCACTTTCTGTTTAGCATGATTACATTTCATCACTCATCTCAATTTTCATTTTTCTTTGTGACTATATGGGACAATTTATTCACCAAATGATTCCAATATTGGTCATTTTCATAAATCTCGCTGACCTTGTTTTCTGGGGTGCCATATATTGCTAGATCCTTTATTTCTTCTTTGGGTCAATGCTATTACAAAGGCTTTTTGCTTTTATTAAGAATTATAACCTTGGCTCTGACTAGAGTTGTTCTAATGCACATGTTATGTCAGTTATGTCATATGTATGTATTTATTTGTAACAAGGAAACAAAAGTACTGTCCTTCATAGAGCATGCAAGCTTAATTTAATTTTTTTCCAGTGTTGCATGATTTTTTTAATGACTCATTAGTATTTGCGTTTGTGCTGTTAAGTAGTATATCAAGGTTTAGCAAATATCTGTATTATTTCTATCTTTTTGCTATGCTGGGTATTTTGACAGTTTGTAGGAAATATTGCTGCAATTCCTAGAGGTCAGCTAATGAAACTAACAGGAAGGAAATTTAGAATAGACAAAAAACACTTCTTCATATAGTGCAAAATTAATCTGAGGAATTCATTATCAAAATATACAGTTATGGATGCTAACTTGAATAGTGTGAAAACAATTACTGTTATTAATTTTGAAAATTCTACACTACATCTGTGTAGGGAAAGGATACCGCCAAATATTAATTGAAAAAGAACAGCAGGAGAGAGGAATGTCTACATATTCTTTATGTGACTATCATGGAAGCATGTGGTTGGCCACTATAAGAAACAAAATCCTATATTATGATGGGACTTGGCTAAACCAGAAAAGCTATTCTCCTGTTTATATGATTATTTAACGTATTTTACTCATGTATAATCCCTTCTCTTAATTAGAAATTTACCTCGTTTACGTGTCCCAGGATGCATTGTGCTGTTCAGGTATGTGACCGCACTCTTCTTGCGCTTTGTAAAAGATAGGAACAAAGTAATTATTAAAACTTTTTGTTAACGGAAATCTATAGAATCACCGATGCATATCCATATATAACATAACAAATATGCTTTATTACTAAAAATCATTTCTAAAGATTTGAGCAAGCTTTCATTATTTAAAAAAATGCATTCATCATTGTGTTAACTAGAACACCTACTCCAGAGAACATGGACTTTCATGAAAATACTGGTAGAACACAACAGAGCTATTTCTACTAGCAGCAAGAGAATGATTTGATCTAAATCTTCATCATTCAGCTAGTCTCTAACTTCTAGAAATATATCAGAGCAACCCAGAACTGTCTACTTAGTTTTCTAGTGTCTTTGAGGGTGTGTATAATTGAACTATTAGGCAATGCCAGTATCAAATGATGCAAGTCGTGGAGTGGCAATTGAGTACTGGAAAACAGAGCAACCCCAAACCACCCTGCTTCTCTCAGATGCAGTAAGGGCAGCCATCATTCATAGAAGTCATTTGCTAAACATCAAATTTAATAATTTTAACATTCTTTTTAGGCTGGTTTGCCCATCCCATATCTGGATGGGTGGACATGAGAGCATCAAAGCAAGATTTTATTTCTAAAGTATAAATAAGAGATTGCTACCTCAGGCTCAAAAACAACTCCACTGTAAACTGGATTTGCTGTGGTTCTTCATTTTCTTTCTTGTCTTTTACTTTGTATTTCTTGAGGAAAGAAATAATTTGGTTAGAAAATAAAAGCATTTCCAAGCACACAAAATTTTGTTTTAGAATCTGAGAAACTAAGGGTCAGAATCTATCATTTCTGACAAATATAATGCTAAAGAAACAGCTGTATTACATAAAATAGATTGAAAATACATCAGTACATGACACCAATTCAACTTAAAACATTACAGCCTACATTTTTAAAAATCTAATTTTATATTTTTTTATCAACTAACGAATCAAGCAAAATTTTCAACTGATAATTAGTTCAAGATTCATTATAGTGTATGAATTTTTACCATGAATATTGCAAATTAATGACAAAAAGCATTAAAGTCAAAATCAACAGCTGCAGAGAACTCTTTTCCATGCAGTAAGTCCATGACAGGTTACAAATATACAAGGATTATTTTTTAAAAAAACTGCAAACAGTTTTTTGATGTTTTATTGATTTAAAAAAATAAAAAAATGATTATCTTTTTACCTTCCAGATGATCATGCGTAACAAGTCCAAGAGAAACCATAAAGGCAAGTTTCTGAATTAAGAGAAAAAATTGAAATCACACAGTATTATAGAAAATTAAATTAGCTGATAATAGTCATTTCTTAATACAAATGATTCAACAATATGCATCAATTCTTAAGAAATTTTGGGACACTGCATTTTTGCCTGAGTTGGTTTTTCAAAATAGGTCTGGACAATTAAAATGTCATCTTCAGGCTTTACTTCTAATCATGAATTTGATCCTAGTAGCTTTCCGTAATACCAACTGAATCATATTCTTCCTGCATTAAGCATTCTAGTTATTCTGACTTGTGTCCCACACTTTGTGCATTTGTGTAACGATGCTGGAATACTTGGTGATACAACTTGAATTATTCCTCCTGTATTTGCATGCTCATTGTTGATACCACTACATTCTGCACTTCCTTATCAGCATCATACTATTTTCTGCGCTGTGAAGTATATGTCTGGCAATTTCCCTCACTCTCTTACCCAGGGATACTGAGATACAACTGAATGGTGCCATTTCCTGCTTTCCATGGTGACTGTGGGATTGACTATGGGACTATGTGTTACTGGCCTAGGACATACAGTAGCATACCACTGATTTTTCAGCCCTTTGATCTGATAGTTAACATTTAGAAAAGTCAATCATAATTGGTAGGTCATCTTTCTGGCAACTACCCTCCCTTGCAGGGTTAGATATTCTATGAAAACAGTCCACTCTAAAGGATTTATGAAATTTGAGGAATTTTTCAAAATTCTGGGGAAGTTTCTAGCAATTTGGATTGGTGACCATGTCAAAGGTCTTCATATAACTATGAAACAAATGAAAAAGGACATCTCATCAACATCCCAAGCATGGGTAAGGTTATGGTAATTAAAGGGCAGCTCAAGCCAGGTGAAACATTGGTTGAAACACATTGAAGTTGTGCAGGGTATTTGTAGTAGAGCATGGCCGTAACTATTAAATAGTGGTGAAAATAGTAAAGAAAACTTATTTTATTAAGTCCATCATGTTCTCAACTAACTATACATTGTTCCCCACCCCACCTCCAACTACAATAAACCTTACTGTCACCTCCTATAACTCATTGAAGACCTGAGTGACATAGTGGCTAGATATTTTAAAAATTGATTCTTTATACTAATAAAAGAGTCAATTCAAAGACTCAGAGGGCACACATTTCTTCAGCCTACATTGACAACTGGTGAATTAGTATCTTTCCCAAGAAAATTTTACAATATTTTTCCCCAAAAATTGTGACATGATATACCTCAAATTATTCACAAAATTCAAGGATTTTCTAAATACAATTTATCAAAAAACTGGCATTTTCAAACTTTAACTCCCTTGCTGAAACTTTAATAATAATATTAAGAATATTCCACCACCATGGAACTGTCAGAATCATCTCCAACAAATATTTTTTAACATGTCTTCAAATATACCGCATACTGTATCCAATCTAGAAAAATAGATAACTACTTTTGAGATTTGCTGAGTCCATACATTTAAAGAATGTTTTGATGAATTAATCTCTAAGATTATGAGGCACATTTAACATCTTTTTTAAATTGAGACGGCTGACTTATTAAAATCGGAGTCTTTTATTTTTNTTGGTGATACAACTTGAATTATTCCTCCTGTATTTGCATGCTCATTGTTGATACCACTACATTCTGCACTTCCTTATCAGCATCATACTATTTTCAATTGTGCCCTCTCCTTCCCTATAGGATTCAGTCCTTCTGACCAAGGTCTCTGCAAACTTATTCTCCCAGTTCTCATACCATGCAACCTATCTCTTGCCAGGAATCCTAAATAATGAATTCCAGTATCAAAGAAACAAAAGCAGTCTGGTACCTAATCAGTATATCTAATTGTTCCTTTGGATGATTCTCTTTCTAAGCTATGCCCCTTTTACAGGAAAGATGGAAGAGAACACAAATTGAGCCCAGAGTAACTCTGCCTTCCTATCCAGTGCTTCTTAGTCCTTGCAATGATTTCAAGATTGTATTTGGCTATGTATTTGTTCCCATATGGATCAGAAAGAAGGGATATTTATCAATGGGTTGGGAAGCTTTTTGTCACATTCCAAAGTGTGCCCAGAAAAGCATTATACTCCTCTTGATAGACTGAAACAGGGCATCACCATCACTTGTTTCCTGCTCCCAGGGAAGATGATGGCATCCTTACTTTTGCAGAACCTGTAGCATCCCCTTCTTTCAATTCCTCAGATTTATGGCAGCTGCTTCTCTTTTGATTCAAAAATATAATAAACAGTGAGATTCTGGAATCTATTCTACAACTTTCAATTTTAAAAGCCAGATTGCTTTTCTCCATCTCTTCAATCCTCCCATTTTGCTTTCTCTGTTTTCCAGGGAACTTCTTAATTCAGCTGACTTTCCACAAGCACTTCCTGTGACCTATTTATGAATTTCCTATCTCCCCTGATAAGCCAGGGAGTAAAAATTGTATCTATAGTTCTTTCAACCTCTCTTCCAGGATGGTAATCTTTTTGCATTTGTAACACTAGAGCTCTTGCCTTCAGCAAAGAAAACAAATATGGCACATCTCATACTGATCACAACAGTAATTTTCTGCCTTTGTGTTCCTCTGATGAAAGAAAGAATGAACAACACGCACATAAAGCCTCCTCCTTGGTTCCTATACAGGAATTCCCCCGCCAATCTCCTGTCTGCATGTTGCTGGGGAGCTGGCTTCCCTACAATCTTCCTCACAACTAGATCAACAGCAAGAAATATCCAATCATGTATAATAAGCAAACAGCAGCCCAATGGACTATCAGAAAAACAGACAACAGAAGCCCCAAAGTGCTTTCAGAAGTCCAGTTGCCTTTTGGAAAGCAGCTTTGAAACAGCCATCTCTTAGATGATTGAGACTCTCCATAGACAGTCTTTCATCAATCATCAGTCTTTATCTTCCTTGGCTTTTTCTCTTTTATTTTGTCTTTCCTGCTTCTTCCCTATTCTTAGTCAAACTTAAATAGGCAAGCTCCTATTTATTTACTCAGTAAACTCACTCTCTAGAGACCTGGCTTCCTTACATGCCATCTGAAGCTGCCCCAAATCACTCTCCGTAAAATATGTTACAATTCTAATTATAGTATATTTTACATCCATCTTGGGAATAACGTAACAAGTAACACATTTCTCCCTAGTTTATCCTAAGAAAAGCTGGGATAAAATGATATATATAAAACAGAAAATAATTTCAAAAATTAGAGTTCATATAAATGATCATGCTTTTTTAAAATTAAACAAAACTGTCACCATCAGAAATGTGTAGGAATTAATGCCAGAGTAGCATGCTATATAGTTCTTAAAATGTTGGGTTTGAATGTGGTTATTTGAATCTTTGTGGTATTAAGTCCCTAATAAAAGACATTCAAAATAACCTCATGTGATCCCTGAAAGGAGAAACACAATGTCATACATTGTTAATAATTATTTTAAGGGTATTCTTTTAAAGTATTCTCTTAAAAGCTTCAAATATGTTGGTTTGCTTATTTATTTGTTCTAAATGTATAATCCATCTTCCTTTCAGGAACTCAAAATAATATACATAGTTATTTTTTCTCCAATATTCCCCATGATAATCCTGTGAGGTAGACTAGACAAGATAATTACTAGGTCAAACTCAGTGAGAATCTGTCCCTGAGGGCGAAGTAGCACCTGTTTTACCCACTACACCACAGATTCTCTGCGCTGTGAAGTATATGTCTGGCAATTTCCCTCACTCTCTTACCCAGGGATACTGAGATACAACTGAATGGTGCCATTTCCTGCTTTCCATG